ATATATATATATACACCGTATGCACAGTGTTACATATTTGAACATAAACTTTCTCTCACAGGCATAAGCAGTCCTTGCTGTTACCTTGAAGACTGTTGAGGAGGGAGAACAGGTACAGCAAGGGTGTTTTGGCTGGGCCCCAGGCGACAAAAGTTAGTATCCAGGTAAGTCCCAGCAGGAAGGTGAGACTGGCCACCACTCTCAGGTCATGCAGGAACCCTTTTCTGCTGCTGGAAGGCTTATTGACCCGCATTTTACGGATCTGTACCAGCACCACGACAAACACGCTGATGTTACAGACCATGACCAGGGTCACGAAGGAAACCACCGTCACATAAAAGGTCACGTCATTCTTTAACCAGCAACTGAAGAGAATGAAGAGAAATAGTATAACCATAAAGGCCCATTCATTCCAAAAAGATAATTATAATGACAACCATATGATAAATAAATTGGCGTCCACACCAACAGACGATAACTTTCTGTTTATTCTAATCGTGGCCTTCAGAACAAGTTTTTATTGCTCATCAGCTGGACAGAATTTGCTGTGAGTCATTTCAATGACATCATTCCTCCAATGCCTTCAAAAATATTTTAGGTTTGGCAGATTTGTACATCTCATTCATACGCTTTTGTATGACATTACAAGTGTGGAAATTTTTGAAATTCCCAATCATTACGATGGCCGAGAGAGCTCAACAATCTGCAACTTCAGAAAACACATGCAAATAGAAGAAGCACCAGCAAATTAAGAAAACACCTTCATCAGTTTGACAGCACATGTGCTGCAAATGCTCACAACACACAAAAAAATCAATAAAAAATAAACACGCTGCAAATACTTGCAACACAACCAAACAGACAAATGCGCAAGTAGCACAGACCATAACAAAATTACTCCAACAAAACGAAAATTAACCTTTTTTTTTTTTTGTACAAATTCCACATCTATAGTTAGTGTAGTAAATCCATGGTAAATTTGTGCATGGTTTAACTATAGTAACCAGTTTTTGTTTTTATTTATTTTTTACATATTAAATGAGACCTTGAACCTTTGACTGAATGGTTCTTTGTGGAACCAAAAATGGTTCTTCTATGGCATCGCTGTGAAGAACCTTTTAAAGCACCTTTATTTTTAAAAGTGTAATTGTGTATTTCATCAGCTTATTTAGGCTAATAATATCCACACACACAAAAAACAAAACAAAGGAATCATATGATCAGGACGTTAAAATAAACAAAAATCTCATCTTTCAGAGCAAACATTGATAAATATGTCCCTTATTCGTCATTTTGCGGTTCCCAAACTTTTCCAATGTGGTCTGTGCCTATTTGCAGCACGTTACTTTATTTGGTTGTGTTGTGAGCATTTGCAGTGCACGTGTTGTCAAATTGATGAATATGTTTTCTTAATTTGAGTTTGTATTTTTTGTTTTTTTTTGCAGGGCGTTGAGCTCTCTCGGCCACCGTAAATCGTAAATTTTTTATCACATGAATGTGTAAGCAACTTCATGAAATACAGAATCGCAACTAAGTAAAAATAAGTTTTCTTGTGAGATTGGGTTGCTTGCTCTATGGTTATAGTTATATTTGTTGGTGTGCACCAACATATGCATTTACAAATGTGTATTTTAAATTATTTTGCTTATGGCACCTACAATGCAGTGGATTCTTGGAGAAGTTCTCTGGAGAGGCCGGTGCCATATGAATTGATATCAATGGCAAGCACTAAACTTACAACCAGCAGAGGTAAACCTGCAAACAACAGTTCAAGAATGAACAAACACAAAACGTTTCCTTGATTTTCTTAGTTGTTATGCACAAATATTCTAGACACATTTAATTCAACTGAAACTACTCAGTATAACAATTGAAGAGAAAAAACATAAAACGGCTTGTCTCACCCCATCCAAGTGCACCGAATTTGAGGATGTAAGACGGCACATATGAATTAAAGACCTTGACCAAGGCCAGGTACATGTTGATTGCACCCAGTCCCATCCAAGTAAAGGTAGCCAGGAAAAAGTAATGTTGAAAGGCTGCTACAGTAATACAGATGGCATTGCTGTTAAAAGAGGCAAGCCAGGAGTTCACAAGGAAGAGCATGTTCAACCCTAGCAAGGCTACGGAGAGGTTAATAAGGATCTTTGAAGGGTAGTCTCGCCTCAGTTTCCTGTGGTAAGAAAACACATGTAAAAAAGACAACATTTATTGACACTTCTGAAGATGCATCCTTTTGAGTTGCTCAAGGATGTCAACAAACCAAATGAGTCTCTAAGTCTGCATTGTTATTCTGGTTTAAGCGGTAGCTTGCATAGTGTCTATGAACTCACTCAAAGGCCAAATACGTCAACAGTGTGACTCCAAGAAAGATGGAGGATATGCCACTGCCCAGGTACGAGATGATAGTAAGAATCCTTTCGTCTTTCGCACTTATTGGGGTTTTAGAGATATCCTGGAAGACAGATGGGTTCAGGGAAACATGCATAGTGGTTACAATAATCAAAATCTAGCATATTTTATGCAAATGCTGTGCACATTGACATCATTTGTCATCCATAAATCACATCCATCCACACCTTTTATTTGTCATCCATAAAACCTATGACCTTTAGTTTCCAAATGTTTTCATAAAAGCTTTACTGTTAATTAATATTTCCTTTGGTAAATATAAAGTCAGTTATAATTCATTGACCTTGCACTATTGCAAGGGCAAATTTAGTTTCACACAACCATGAAAATGAGGTAAAACTTTATGTACATTATAAAATTTTTTAATTGGCTGTCTACATTTTGGGCAGACAAACCAAACTCACCAGAAGAGCTCCAAAATGTGTGAGGTGATCACAGGAACAGGATGTATAAGTGGCATTAGACATCACTGTCTCACATCCTGTATCATTCCATCCACCTTTATCATCTACAAGACATTCAGTCAACAACTATCATGGGGATATTAACCAAAATGAAGTGCACTTTTACTGTAGACAGGCCTAAATTTTGAATTTGAAAGTATGTATCAAAAAGCTTACCGTTTTTGTTGAAGTCCCAGTAGACACACTTGACAGTGTCCCAATCCTAGAGAGAAAAAAAAAAAGCATTATTTTATTGATCAGACTGTAAATCTGTGATAAGATAGCATACATTTGGTAGCTTACATTATTATGGTAACTGTTTACTATAGATTGTTTCAACAGGACAATAATGATGCTGAAATGATTTGTGGTTTGTTTTGGTGTTGGCTGATTGTACCCATACAGACCTCTTTGTTTTGGAGATGGCGGAGAGTGACCATCACTGGGATCTCAAGGTTGCTTACTGTGGCATTGGTGACACTGGCAGATACTACATAAGAGTTCAGCTTCATGTTGGCTGTGGGGTCCTAGATGTTAAAAGTCTGCCATCAGAAGTAAGTACTGGAAATGCTGCATATAAATAGTTAAAAACTGCTAATTCTATAGTTCTATGGTTCTTTACGTAAACTGACTGGTTTATTAAAATTAGATTAACTCTTTGAGGACTTGGGATATGACTTGAAGACTTGCTTGTGACTTGAAAGTCCCAACTCTGTGAATTTATATTTGAAATGAGTACCTTCTAGAGCAGGGATCCTCAAATCTGGCCCACGAGATCCACTTTCCTGCAGAGTTTAGCTGTAACCCAAATCAAACACACCTGAGTAAGCTAATCAATGTCTTCAGGATCATTAGAAAATCAGAGGTAGGTGAGTTTGATCAGGGCTGGAGCTAAACTCTGCAGGGCATTGGCCCTCCAGGGCAAGATTTGAGGAACACTGACGTAAACTGATTTGAGGTGGTTTATTCTTCAGAAAGTGAGAAAAATACACAAGGAAAATGTGATCACCAATTCAATGTATGTTACCTCAAATAAATGTTCTGTGCCATAAAAATGAAACTGTACACGAGGTCTGGCTCCATTGTTCGGGAAAAAGCTCTCAATTGCATGAGGTAAAGAAATGAATGCTATAGTTCCTGTGTCTGGATGCACTGTAAAGTTCTTGTCATAAAATATCTACAAGAAAGGGGAGAAAACATTACAGCATACTTTAAAAACCATTTACCATACGTGTTCTCATTTTTCTCTGTATTGATTGTTCTAGGCTGTTATGCCGATATGCACTATGACTATATGTGACTATGAATGAGTCACTGAATCATTCACTTAACCAATTTTTTTTTCAAAATACTGTTTCATTCAGTAGCACTGCTACAGTTGCAACAGTTGAATCTGCTTTGGCTTCATATTTTCTTTATTTGAACAAAAATGAACATGAGTGAACAAACTAAGCAGAAACTTTCCTTCAGCGTGGTAAAAATACATCTGCTTGATCTTCATATGTATTATGAGCATATGTGATATAAATATAAATGGAACTTTCTGCACCAAAACCACCATTGACCAAAACAAACAAACATCCTCATCTGCCGATGATTTAAAAAACAGACAGTCCCGTCCCCAATTCACACCACTGAGATGCACTGTTTACACAGTTTTAATTAACACAGTGAAAATTAACCTATGAATGGCTTATGTCTTTAAAATGGAATAGAAAGATATTTTAACACACTGAAGAAAATTACATACTCCAGCTTTAATTCATACAAAAATGCTGGCTCAACACGTTCACATCTTTCTTAATTCAAAGTCATTTGGTGGTCAGGGGAGTATCACACCTGACATGTAAATGGTGCTAAAATAACCACTTGTGTCCCGTGATCCACTAACACAACACACACAAAGACACAGAAACCTTGTGGTCACAATGGTGTGAAAACACATTCTCAAAGGTACTGTGATAATTTAATATCACACTTCTATTTTCGCTAAGAGTCTAAAGTTTCCATAATGATCTTGGTCTCATGCAGTGTTATATATACAGTCTCTCTTTGTCTCTCACCTCAGGGGTGCTATCATTCAGTAAGGAGGACACCTCGAATGTGAGGCCATGGAACTGAGAGGTGTCAGGGTTGATCAGCTGAAGTGCTAATGAAGGTGCTGTCATGTTATGAGCATCTCCCTCGAACACCGTCCTGTCTCCCATAAGGTCTGTAATAGAAAGAATTCTACCACACACAAAGACAGAAAGCCACAATGGAGTGAATACAGCAGGAAAATGAGATATTCAGACATATTTCAGAGATAAATTTATAGACATTTTCTGATGTACTGAATATGCTTTTTTTTAGGCTCAACCTGCAAATGAAAAAACTTTGGGTTTCAAGAAATAGTTGACCCCAAAAAATGAAAATTAGCTGAAAATTGACTCCTGCTCAGGCCATCCAAGATGTAGATAAGTTTGTTCATTCATCAGAACAGATTTGATTACATTTAGCAATGCATCACTTGCTCGCCACTGGATTCTCAGCAGTGAATGGGTGCCGTCAGAATGAGAATCCAAACAGTTGATAAAAACATCACAAAAATCCTCATGTAATCCACTCGACTCAAGTCCATCACTTAACGTCTTGTGAAGTGTAAAGCTGAGTGTTTGTAATAAATCCACCAAGATGCTTTAACTTTACGTTGATGTTTTTATCAGCTGTTTTTGCTCCATGAAAAGAGCCATGAAAAAAGCATTATCCATTTAAAATAGTGTGGGATCTTCTGACACCATATTACAGCAACTTGGGCATTATATTTTAATTTTCTCTTTTTGTGTCCAGAGGTGAAAGAAATGTGTTTGAAACAACATGAGAGTGAGTAAATAATGATAGAATATCCATTTTTGGTTCAGCTATCTCTTATACTATTTGTATCACAATATAATCCTGCACAAAATGCTCTGATCTGCTTACTTACTTGTTGATTTGGGTGGGACTAGTTTTGATATAACAGATATCTGAAACAATTTTAGTAATGTCGCTGGACAGGTCTGTGGTCAAGGTTCCAACCTCAGTGACCTCAGACAGTTTTTCAAGCACAATGTCCAGCTGAGCATCATTCAGATCGGTTTGTTCCTTTAAAAGATCCTCAATCATATCCACAATGTCTGCTGAGTTGTCTGGAGACAGATGCAACATGGAGAATTTTAAAGTGGGCCGAATTAATTGTTTCGGTCTTCTCTGACAAATAAAGGTAAATAAAAACCCATATTGGTAACTTACCAGCTGTAACTGTGATATTTTCCAAATCATCAAAATCTGAAACTGTCCGAATACACTTGCTCATGTCTGGATGATCCCACACTGCTCTGTCAGTTGCCCCGTTTAACTTACTAAATGGAATGAGAAAATATGTGAGTCTCATTTAGCCATTTATTAAAGCAGTGGTCGCCAACCCGTCGATCGCGATCGACTGGTAGATCTTTATCACTGTCCCAGTAGATCCCGAAAAAAAAAACAGTAAAATAAGTACAAAAATGCATTACATTTATGGGGTTATATTAATGTATCACTGAAGGGAACTGTCTTGAGAAAAGTTTCGATGGCAATGGCATTTTCTTCTCCTTATAAAGCGCAACTCTGCTTTGTTTACAGCGGTAAACAAGGAAACGCTATATTGCGGTCGGTTCACAAGCACTGTTGCCAAGTCCGCGGTTTTCCCGCGGAATTGGGCTACTTAACACTGTTGCCGCGGGTTGTTGTTCATGTCCGCGGGTTGAAGCGACCCCAATAACGTGATATTTAGTCCCTGGAATGTGAATTTTACTGGAAGATCCCCGCCGAAAAAACGTGTATTTTACACCCCCGAATGCGATTTTTACAGGGGAACCCTCCTCGAAAAGCGATTGGACTAGTTTTATTGCCAAAACCTGGCAACCCTGTTCATAGGCGCCACCTGCTGTCAGAGAGTGCGTCTCATTCAGACCTGCTGTTGTTTCGCGCAGATGTTTTATGTAGCAAATAAATAAATAACACCTAAAGTCAGACCATTCTGTTTTTGTTTTAAATCCTGAAATTAATCTAAATCAAATCAAAAACAACTGCCCGTGCAGATCATGATTAAAATGCAGTGGTTGCCTCTAATTTCAAATGGCTAGATATTTTTGTTTAAAGCCAGTTTGTTTGTTATAAAGCAAATAGCCAATAAATAAATTTGCTTAAAAATCGGTATCAGAATCCAATTTGCTAGTTAAAAAAGAAAAGAAAATCTGAATTCTGAATCAGCTATGATCGGCGCATCACTAATTAAAATACTAAGTAAAAGGCCTCAAATTTGAAGAACAATCTGGGATGTCTTTTTCTATCACTTCTTCAATAGGTAGATCTTGTCTTTCATAAAGGCCGAGGTCAGGGATCTTGGGCCTAAAAAGGTTGGTGACCACTGTATTAAAGGGTTTGTTCACCAATTTTCAAACAGCTTTGAATTGTTACAGTGTTGGTAGTGTAAGTAAATTAACAATGTATATTTTTACCGGAACCAATACTCCATTTAGTCAGCTAGAGTGTAGGGTGTAGGTAGCATATTCATCAGACAATAATTACACTATTTTGATTATGTAAAACCAACAATACTATTAAAATATGTTTTCTTTGGATTGTTTGATTACTCAACAGAGAATATAGCTAAATATATTACACATACATAAAAAACAATCTGGCTCTAAACCTCTCTTTTCTTTATTCATAGTTTATCTAGACAAGTAGCCTATATAAAACTAGCCAAAGTTCTGTTAATCCTAAAGCAGTGAAAACTGCATTTCTATATTCATCCTCTTCATCATGTGTCCTTAAGGTGTAATTTTTTAAAATTTTTTCCTTGTTTTGTTTTTAGAACTGTACTGTCTTAATGGTTGGTTGGATGTTTGTACTGTTTAATAAAAAAGAAAAATAGTGTCACGATACGTGCCCTGAAGTCCCAATCTGAATCAAATGATTCGCGATCCACGCTCCGAAGTTCCGATCTGAATCATAAGTGCTCCGAAGTCCCGATCTAACTCAAATGATTCGTTCACCCAAAAATGAAAATTAGACTGTGTTTTACTCACCCTCGAGGCATCCTAGGTGTATATGACTTTCTTCTTTCAGACGAATCCAGTCGGAGTTATATAAAAAATTGTCCTGGCTATTCCAAGCTCTATCATTGCAGTCAGCGGGTGTTGCAGTTGAACAGTCCACAAGTCGTCAAATAAAGCGCGCGCATTCATAATAAACGTGCCTCACACCGCTCTGGGAGGGGAGGGGGTGAATAAAGGCCTCCTGTAGTGAATCCATGCGTTTTTGTAAGAGAAATATCCATATTTCAAACGTAATAAACACTTTTCTCTCACTTCCGTTATCTGTCATACACGGAAGTCGTTCCGTCAGATGACGCAGCACGTATGCGCAGTGCGCACACCTCTGAGATATGCTAGTCTCGCAAGTTTGTTTACAGGAGCAAAGGAAGCAAAGTTTCCTTTCTTTAGCAAAGGAAAACCAGTCTCCTCTTGGTTTATATCGAAATCCTCCGACATTTTTCTTTGAAAATCCTCGGTTTATACTTCTAATTCATGACTGGCGTTTTGTTTTGTTCTCTCTCCGCATTCGTCACTAATCACACAACGCCGATGTGCTACGTCATCCGCCGGAACGCCTTCCGCGTATGACAGTCAGAGCTAGGAATAGCCAGGACAATTTTTAATATAACTCCGACTGGATTCGTCTGAAAGAAGAAAGTCATATACCCCTAGGATGCCTCGAAGGGTGAGTAAAACAAAGCTAATTTTCATTTTTGGGTGAACTAACCCTTTAACTGATTCGGAGTTTCAAAAAGCTCAGTTTCACCCATCACTATGTGCTTTTTTACATCATTACAAGCGAATGGCTCTTTTGATCGGGTATTTGCTAGTGAATCGAGTTTGAGTTTGAATCAATCGGAGCGGTTCCAGCGTAAAATACTCACTCAATTGAACCGGTTTGTCTATGGCAAGCCGTTTTAACATTTAATCTATAAACCGCACTAGTATCTAATTTAATGTTACTAGTACTTATTTTTTAGATACTAGTATATTTTCCATTAAGTACTAGTACTTATTCATTAACTACTAGTGCTTATTCTTTAGGTACTAGAGTCTTTTGTAAAGTTACTAGTACTTATTCATTAGATACTAGT